AGTATGATACATTTGGTTTTTTTTTTTTAAATAAAATAAAACACTACGCTCTATTATCACTTACTAACAACAGTAATGACCATTTTCTAGGCTAATAGGCAAGGGATTGTCAAACAAATGATATGGGGGAGCTGAACACTGCCATAGGGAACATGCACTAAAACAAAAGAAAATTAAAAAAAATAATATTTTAACAAAAATCTGTTTGCTGCAGAGCAGCAATTTTCACTATAATTTGAATAAACATTGCAAAATGCCTTTAAATGACATGCATTTGAGATAACCTGAACCTACCTGTGGAGTGGTGCATTTGTATGATGTATACAACCTACTATAGAATAACTGACATTTACAAAGAAAACTGAAACCTGATGAAATTGCCAGGCTGCTTATTTCTGTCCATAAACATAGCAGCCAGGGATTCCCTTCATCTGTATCAGACCTTTTGTACTTTGGATCTGTTATGTTTACTTTTAGCAGCAGGATCCCGGGAAGTGTCATTTGGTGCAAATAAGCAACAGTAGCATATCATGTTGGTAGTTGGCAGGATGTTTTGTCTTTTAGGGGTGTTGGGTGTCCGTTTATTGTTATTGATGTGGATGTAAATCACTGGACCACATGATTGATGATGAATTTACATTATGATGAGATTTTTTTTTCATTAAAGGACTTGTCCAAAGTGTCACTGTGTTTGTTTGCTGTTTACTTGTTTATGACTAGGTAGGGGTACTATTTATCCCTTATTCATTTACATAGCGGACAGCAGTATCTGGGGACCAGTTATTGTGGCTTCCATATTTTGAAAATCCCCTACCTGAAGAACCCTAAAACAACCAAGCGATGGTTGTGGGGAAGAGGCCTTGTCCTCACCAACATTGGGACAATGTGCTTTTCCAGGGGGTCCCATTTGACAAGGCACCCCCCAAGTTGAGGGTGTGTAGCCTGGCATGGTTCAGGCTGCATGCTTGGATAAGGATGTAGTTTAGATTTTGGGGGAAGACACTTTTTCTTTCTTTTTTGTGTTGCACTTCCCCTATATGATCCATGGCAAACCTGCATTCACACCTGATCGTTCCCTAAATGCGAGCAAAATTGCATGTTGTGCTTGCAGTGACATTCATTGCTAATGGCACCCCAAACATAGCAAGCAGACACATGGTTTTCTGCATGGAAAAATGCATGACAAGTGAGTCAAATTACTCTTTTAAAAAACACGTAAAGCTCAAAGCACAAAGAGCTACTTGAGGTACACTGACACATTTGGCGAATGTCAGGGCAGCCCATTAAAATGAATAGGTGAACATGTGATCGTCCAGAAGCATCATGTAGGTCTGATGACAAGGAAGAGAGAACAGGAAGCATTGCACTGTTAACTAGTTGAGAACACTGGGCATGCTGCACATGCCCCCCACAAAAGGTTATTAAAGTATACCAAACAGTCCTTCTGCCTTGCTGCCCCCCTCCCCCCTCTTATCACTTGCCAGAAAATCTTGGCTTCAAAAATATTAAAATAAAAGCTGTGTTGCTTTGTGAATACAGCAGTTCTAGCAGCCACTGAAGTCAATAAAAGAAAATAAACAAACAAATAAAAAGTCTGTCTCAGTGTTTAGAAATAGAGATATAAAGTAACATTTCTACTTTTGTATCTACTTTTTAATTCATCTGCAGTTTGAGAGGTTTTTTTTTTTTGCCTCTAAACTATTGAAAACACCTATAGTGTGTCCCATAGGAGTTGATTTATTAAAACTGGAGAGTGCAACATCTGGTACAGCTGTGCATGGTAACCAATCGGCTTCTAACTTCAGCTTGTTCAATTAAGCTCTGAAAAAAAAAAAAAAAGAACCTGGAAGCTGCAGAGCTGCCCCAGATTTAGCACTCTCCAGTTTTAGCAAATCAGCCCCAAAGGCTAAAAAAGAGGGGCATGCTAGTGCCAGCTCCATAGGCACCTTTACATGTGAGTGTGCAGCGATTTGTTTACTTATGTCATTCTTACAATAAATACTGCATTTAGAACACCATAGCTTCTCTTGGTTTCTTTGAGTGGCATGACAACATCCAAAAAGGAGTATCTGCTCTGAACCCCTCTTTTACATCTTTGGAGAATATATTGGCAATCTCTTATCAACTTTCCTGTTCCTAATCTGTGAAGTGTTGATGATTGAGACCATCTTGGGAAGAGCTTAAAGTGGAGGTCTTGGCTTACATCGATGGCCTCCCGAGGCAGGTGCGGGGGGTGCGGTTCGCATCGGGTGACATCGACCGCACGGGGTGACACTGGACCCGCTCCACAAAAAGATAAGTTGTAAAGAAAGCCGACGATCCCCGCAGGATGCATCGGATCTGCGTATTGAGCATAATAGATCGGAGTCCGATCCATTATGCTTAATCTGCAGATCCAATCCATTCTGCGGGGATCATTGGAGGGGGTGTCACCAAATGTTACCGTGCTGGGTGACACCTACCCTGGAGACGCCTCTGGCTTACATTACCATAATGCGATATGTGACCACCTGAATGGGGTCATATAGGTCCGGTGTGTGAGCCATTCACTTGTTTTCTTCACTGAGGTGTGGATTTATGAACTTTGGTCATCAATACATGAGTGAATTATTCAAAAATTTTGATTCGGCTGATTCGCCGAATTTGCGGAATAAATTTGATTTATGCGAATTTATTCGCTGCGACTATTTAACTTATTGTTTCTAGGCTTCAGAGAGCCTAGTGCAGAACACTGTACCTTTAATTTAAATGTTGGAGTCTTGGGGAAGAGAAATAATACTGTCACAGTATGGTGCAGATGAGTGCCGTCGATCTTAGAATCACCGCACACTTCACTCATTTGGGCAGTCACGGGGCCAAAACCAGAGTGTGGAGCCACAGTGTGGCGGGTGAGGCAGCAGCAATGGGAGGCCATACAGCACCCTATGACAAAATGGAACCCATTGAGGAGACCTGAAAGTGGCACATGGCAGAGTGTGGCGATGGAGACAGCAGCAATGGGAGGCCGTACAGGGACCCATGACACACTCTTGCATATGAGGAGGGGCGGTATGGCAGATTACGGGCCCTGCAGCAGCATGAGAGGCGGTACAGGGGCCCATGGCAGAGTGGTGAAGCGTAAGCAAATTGAAGGCCATACAGATATGTTAAAAAGTCCCCCCAGCAGCAGTGTGGGGAGACGACTATCAAGAGTCCAATGGCAGAGTGGCGGAGCAGAAGCAGCTTATTGAAGAAGAAGAGGATGAGGATGAAGAAGAAGAAGAAGAGGATGAGGATGAAGAAGCAGAAGAAGAGGATGAGGATGAAGAAGAAGAAGAAGAAGAATAAGAGGATTATGAAGAAGAAGATGAGGATGAAGAAGAAGAAGAGGATGAGGATGAAGAAGAAGATATGAGGATGAGGATGAGGAAGAAGAAGAAGAAGAAGAAGAAGAGGTTGAGGATGAGGATGAAGAAGAAGAAGAAGAGGAGAAGAAGAGGTTGAGGAAGAAGAAGAAGAAGAGGATGAGGAGATGAAGAAGAAGAAGGAAGAGGATGAGGATGAAGAAGGGGAAGATAGAAGAAGAAGAAGAGGATGAGATGAGAAGAAGAAGAAGATGAAGAGGATGAAGAAGAAGAAGAAGAAGAGGATGAGGATGAGGATGATGAAGAAGAAGAAGAAGAAGAAGAAGAAAAGAAGAAGAAGAGGATGAGGATTAGGAAGAAGAAGAAGAAGAAGAGGATGAAGAAGGAAGAAGAAGCACTGAAGAAGTAGGAAGAAGAAGAAGAATGAAGAAGAAGAAGAAGAAGAAGAAGAGGAGGAGTATGAAGAAAGAAGAAGAAGAAGAGGATGAGGAAGAAGAAGAAGAAGAAGAAGAAGAGGATAAAGAAGAAGAAGAAGAAGAAGAAGATGATGAGAGGAAGAAGAAGAAGAAGGAAGAAGAGGATGAGGATGATGATGAAGAAGATGAAGAGAAGAGGATTGAGGATGAAGAAGAAGATGAAGAATGAGAAGATGAGGATGGAAGAAGAAGAGGATGAGGATGATGAAGAAGAAGAAGGATGAGGAAGAAGACGAAGAAGAAGAAGAAGAGGAGGAGGATGAAGAAGTAGAAGAAGAGGATGAGTGATGATGAAGAAGAAGATGAGGATGAAGAAGAAGAAGAAGAAGAAGAGGATGAGATGAGGAGGAAGAAGAAGAAGAAGAAGAAGAAGAAGAAGAGGATGAGGATGAGAAGAAGAAGAAAGAAGAAGAAGAAGACTTGAAGGAAAGAAGAAGAAGAAGAGGATTTGAGGATGAAGAAGAAGAAGAAGAAGAAGAAGAAGAAGAAGAAGAGGATGAGGATGAAGAAGAAGAAAAGAAGGCGCGTGGAAGAAGAAGAGGATGAGGAAGAAGAAGAAGAAGAAGAAAAAGAAGAGGATGAGGATGAGGAAGAAGAAGAAATGAGATGAGAGAATGAGAGAAGAAGAAGAAGAAGAGGCTAGGTAATGAAGAAGAAGAAGAAGATGAGGATGAAGAAGAAGAAAAGAGGAATGAGGATGAAGAAGAAGAAGAAGAAGAAGAAGAAGAAGAAGAAGAAAGAAGAAGAGAGGATGAGGATGAGGATGATGATGAAGAAGGAAGAATGAAGAAGAAGAAGAGGTGAGGATGAGGATGAAGAAGAAGAATGAAGAGGATGAGAATGAAAAGAAGAATGAAGAGAGAAGAAGAGGATGAGGTCAAAGAGAAGAAGAAGAAGAAGAAGAAGAAGAAGAAGAAGAAGAAGAATGAGAAAGGGAAGAGAAGAGGATGAGGATGATGAAGAAGAAGAAGAAGAAAGAGGAGGATGAGGATGAAGAAGAAGAAGAAGAGGATGAGGATGAGAGAAGAAGAAGAGGATGGGATGAAGAAGAAGGAGGATGAGGAAGAAGAAGAAAAGAATGAGGATGAAGAAGAGGATGAGGGATGAAGAAGAAGAAGAAGAAGAGGAAGAAGGAAAAGAGGAAAAGGATGGGGAGATGAAGAAGAAGAAGAGGTTAGGCTGTGAAGAAGAAGAAGAGAAGAGGCATGAGCAGTAGAATGAAAGTTGTGTCAGGTATATATTTCCGTATTTCTGACAGTTCTCTGGAGCCAGTTCCTTCAAATACAGCGGTTGAAAATTGTATCTATTTGCATCTGTATCCTAAATGGAAACCAAATAGATACAATGTTTCAACCGCTGTAAATGTGAAACTGTCAGAGAACTGTCAGAAATAGCGGAGCTCTCTGCAGGGACACTTTTTTGCCGGCTGTAGAAGGGATGAAATCGGCCGATCGGGGAAAATTCGATTCGTGCATCCGAAGTTTGCTAATTAATGCGCGAATCGAATTTTTCCTAATATTCGAAATGAATTCCACTTTGCCAAGTTGATTCGCTCATCTCTAGTCATCAACATTGTGCCCTTAAGAGGACTATCACAATATTTGTTTTTTATCACTATGTATATGTATTTGTGGCACGTGGTGAAAGCACAAGGACCTATATGTTGATGTATATAAAAATCATTTGGATAGCTATTAGCATGCATACATAAGAACTAATTGAACAAAAGCTGTTCATTTACTGATGATGAAATTATCAGCACATTATATATGGTTTATTGGTGGTACTCTACGTTCCTTTATTTGAAATTTGTGCACAGCTCCTACCTATTTAATAATATTATATGCACTTTATTATAATACCTCTAACAGTTGACTGTGGATTGGAATATTTAGTAGCAAGTAAATTGCACAGGTGGCAACCTATCACTGTACCATGCTTGGATTTCACTGAGCTCCTGAGAGCGACCCACTCTTTCACAAATGTTTGTAGAAAGTAGACTGCATGCCTAGGTGCTTGATTTTTTTAACATCTGTGGCCATGGAGTTTCTACACTATTATATTTTCATTGGAAACGGTGAGGGCAGGAGGAGAGTAATTGGTTGTGTCTGAGAGTGTCATGTGACTAGTGTGTGTATGAAGCTGGCTGACCTTGCAGTTTAGTATAAGAGTTGTCAGGTTGTTTTTGAAATTTTTAATAAATACAGTTAAAAACGTGCGAAAACCTTTTGAAGACCCTTTATGTTGTTATCTTAAGTAATGACAAGTAATGACCAAACAGGTCCGTAGCACAAATGTAAAAATTGCTCTGGTCCATAGTGGGTGTACAGATGTCAGAAATGAAGTGGTTAAAGCAGAACTGTGGCCAATCACTGACCTTTGTTTACTAATTAGAATGCCATCCATGCCAGATAGCATAACTTTCAATATAATTTTTGGTGCTGCTACTATGAGAGCTGCAGCTTTCCCCTTTTCTCCTCTCCCCTTGTCTATTCACAGAAAGCCTTGTATTGTGCGAGTAGTTCACTGAAATAAGCAAAATGATTCACTAATAAGTAAAGTACTGCTTCTGTGTATGACAGCCACAGTTCTAACAATTGCAGTTCAAGGACTACAGTAGTAATGGGCTTTATGTTTGAGTCGAAGATGAGTTCGACTTGAACATCATGTGTTTGTGTGCTCGGTGAACACACGAACAGTACGGGCGTTTGGTGGGCTGGTCTCCCCCCATGCCCCACAATGCACTGTGCTCTCACAGTGCATTGTGATTTGCCAAAGCAACGCACTCAGGGGCGGACTGACCATTTGGAAACTCTGGCACTGCCCGAGGGCCCGGGGTCAGTAGGGGGCCCCATGAGATGCCCTGGTATCTTTTTCATAGGCTTTTTTGAGTTTGGGGAAGGACACAGGGGCCCCATGATCCCCTATTGCCCGGGGGCCCCATGAGTTGTCAGTCCGCCCCTGAACGCACCTGACCGCAGGTCAGGTGCAATGCTTTGGCCAATCACAGCTGGATTCACTGTGTCTGTGTGACTTTGGCCAATCACGGCTCATGAGCTAAGTCCATGCCCCACACTATATAAGGCTGCTTACACAACAACCTTGTGTAGTGTGTGTTGGTGGAGTTAGTTAGGTGAGGCTAATTACTGGTGTTAGGAGAACAGTGTAGTCAGTATAATGTGGTGTTGTGGAGCAGTGCAGTGGTGTCAGTGAAGTGTCAGTGTGTTTTTACAGTTCTTCTGTGTTGCCACTATTCCCATTTTTTTTGTTTGTTTTGTTTATTGCTTTATTTTTGCAGCATCAGGTTCTGTTGCTGCATCTTCAGTGTTCCCCTTTCTGTGTCACAGGTGTTCCTCCTTCTGCGTCAGCAGTGGTTTCCTTTTTTAATTTTAATTTTTTTTAATTTAATTTAATTGTTTTTTTGGTTTGCTGCAGCAGCAGTAAAAAATATTTGAGGCATAATTGCTGTTCCCCCTTCTGCGTCGCATGTATTCTTCCTTTTTCTTTTTGGCTTTCTGAATTTTTCTTTTTTTTTTTTCATTGCTGCAGCAGCAGCAGCAAAAATATTGAGGGCATAATTGCTGTTCTTCCTTCTGCGTCACCATGGTATTTTTGGCTTTCTTAATTTTTTTACATTTTTTTTAATTTAAATTTTTTACCACAACAGCAGTAAAAAAAAATCTCCATAATTGCTGTACCCCCTAATTTCAGTAAAAAAAAAATTATAAATAAATAAAAATGTTTTATACACCCAAGCACCAAATTCCCATCCCACACTCAAAAATAAAAAGTTATAAAATCCCCTAAAAAAAAATCCTCATCGTTTCCAAAAGACCAACAAGCTGAGAGGCAGGCACTCACAGGCAGCTAAAAGAGGGAAAGCAGCCTCTGTGTCTACAGTGAAAAGCGGTGGTCGTGAGTACGGTGTACCCTCTGCAGGCAGGGCAAGCTTGACCTTTTTTTTCTGGTGCTGGCTGTGTTATTGAGCCACAACATGCAGAAGAGGTGGTGGAGTGGATAACTAAGCCATCCTCATCCTCCTCGCCCTCTGTCACCCAGGCTCATACTTGTTCACCTTCCACTGCAGCTGCCAAAGCATCCTATTCTACAGGTTTCTTGTCCACCACAGCTGCTCCTTCCGTAGCCCCACCATCATGCATGGAGAAGTCACCTAAATTATTCGATCATAGTGTCAGTCAGTCTGCTGGAGGATGCGCAGCAATTTGAATGCTCTGATATTGATTCCCAGGTTGAGGAAGGGAGTGAGCGTAGAGAGAGGGGGTACCAATAACAGACAAGAAATTGGCAGTCATGTTCCCCCGGCCACAGCATACTGCCCAGTTGGCTCCAGTAACGAGGA